GAGAGGGTGGGGAGGGGAGGGGCTGGGTGGGGAGGAGAGGGTGGGGAGGGGAGGGTGGGGCTGGGTGGGGAGGGGAGGGTGGGGCTGGGTGGGGAGGCGCTGGGTGGGGAGGGGCTGGGTGGGGAGGGTCTGGGTGGGGAGGGTCTGGGTGGGGAGGGGCTGGGTGGGGAGGGTGGGGCTGGGTGGGGAGGCGCTGGGTGGGGAGGGGCTGGGTGGGGAGGGGCTGGGTGGGGAGGGGAGGGTGGGGCTGGGTGGGGAGGGGCTAGGTGGGGACGGTGGGGCTGGGTGGGGGGTGGGAGGGGTGGGGAGGGGCTGGTTCGTGCCCGCCCTCACAGTCGGGCACATTGTGCTGAACACACCACGTGGTGGTGCCGCCGTTGACCCTGGAACATTGACCGAGCAACCCAACGTTCCTACCAGCTCCCTCCGCAGGAGAATGTGTTAAGGCTGCCCTTCCAAAAACCCCAAACTTGGTCTCTCCGCCCCGCCACAAAATCCCTCAAGGAAGACAAAAGCTGTGCTGCTACAGAGATGTCAATGTCCCTTCCCTGTAGGTGCATGCTTGTCGCGTGGAACCGATCAAGTACGACGTCCCAGAAACGCGCCATGAGCACCACCTCTTGAGGTGTCCAATTCAGCGCGTAGTCCAGCGGCCTCAATTCGAGTACCTCTTTTTCTCATTGTCACCATTGCACATGCCACCGAAGGCCTCTCTGTGGGTGTAACGTATCCACAGTGCCTTGGTTGACTCTGCCCGATCACTCCACCGAGTACTGGGCAGCGATTTTAACGCCAGGCTGACGTCTGTCTTCCGAGAGACTTTCCACGATCTGTGTGTGCGGATGAAGAGCACAATGTGTGTACAGTGACCGCAACGTGTTAAAATAGAACTCTTCAGCCTCTGGGCTAGTGCCGTCTAAGGCGTTAACACCAACCAAGTTAAGTGAATTGCGCCGCGCAGTGGCTACATACTCTTGCGGGTGGGGTAGGGTTGGGGGTTAGGGTGGAAGTGTGCAGTAGGATGGGGGTAGGGTGGGTGGGGTAGGGTGGGGTAGGGTGGGGTAGGGTAGGGTGGGTGGGGGGTTAGGGTGGGTGTGTGCAGTAGGGTGGGTGGGGGTAGGGTGGGTGGGGGGTTAGGGTGGGTGTGTGCAGTAGGGTGGGTGGGGGTAGGGTGGGTGGGGGGTTAGGGTGGGTGGGGTAGGGTGGGGGGGTAGGGTGGGGTAGGGTAGGGTAGGGTGGGTGGGGGGTTAGGGTGGGTGTGTGCAGTAGGGTGGGTGGGGGTAGGGTGGGTGAGGGGTTATGGTGGGTGAGGTAGGGTGGGGAGGTGAGTGGGGTATGGTGGGGGGGTAGGGTGGGGTAGGGTAGGGTGGGTGGGGGGTTAGGGTGGGTGTGTGCAGTAGGGTGGGTGGGGGTAGGGTGGGTGGGGGGTTAGGGTGGGTGGGGTAGGGTGGGGGGGTAGGGTGGGGTAGGGTAGGTTGGGTGGGGGGTTAGGGTGGGTGTGTGCAGTAGGGTGGGTGGGGTAGGGTGGGGGGGTAGGGTGGGGTAGGGTAGGTTGGGTGGGGGGTTAGGGTGGGTGTGTGCAGTAGGGTCGACTCAGCCTGAAATGAGTACCTGGTGCGGTGTGTAGTAAACATCGCCACTGGGGAGACAAAGGCGGCCGGGCGTGGTGCTGGCCACCCACCCCCTCGTGTACCGTTCCGGCCTTCATAGGTGCTCGCTAACAGCACTTGCCCCTACAGTCTGTTAAGGCTATATGGGGGGGGGGTCTTTGGTCTTTGGGTGGGGGGTTATGGTGGGTGGGGTAGTGTGGGGAGGTGAGTGGGGTAGGCTGGGGTGGGTCAGGGACGTGCGGTAAGGGGAGGCAGGGGAGGCAGAGCCTCACCAACTGTCATACTCCAATGAAAATCGCTGTTACGAAAAATAAAAAATAAAAACAATCAACTAAATATTAAGATTTTCCCACTGAGCTGTGTTGTAAATGTGAATTTCTGTACGATTCCAGACATTTTTATCGTCAAAATCGCCAAATTTGCGGAGCTCCGCTGCAAATACAGGAAGAGACGAGAGGTGAGGCAGCGACGAGCTCAGCCTCCCCTCTGATTGCGCAACCCCTTAATAACCGGATGGAGCGCGGGCAATAAGCGCATGCCTGTTACTATCTCAGTATCTCACCAATGTAATGTTTGTAGACCCCTTAATTTCATTGTCCTCGCCTTCCATACTCCAGGTAACTTATTTCACGTATGTGTATAAAGGTATTTAGGCTCGCTGGTCTCGTCGTGAAACTGCAATGAAAAAGCACCAGGGGAGGCAGCCATCACATCTGCCTCACTCCGTGATGCCACGCCCCCCTCCGTGATGCCACGCCCCCCTCCGTGATGCCACGCCCTCCTCCGTGATGCCACGCCCTCCTCCGTGATGCCACGCCCCCCCTCTGTGTGTAAATCTGGCTCTGATACCAGCCAGTACCTCCCCAGCCATTGACATCACCGCACGTCACTGGTGGGGGTAGGGTGGGGGGGGGGTTGGGTAGGGTGGGGGTAGGGTGGGTATGTGGGGTGGGGGGTAGGGTGGGGGGGGTAGGGTGGGTGGGTGGGGGTAGTGTTGGGGGGGGAGTAGGGTAGGGTGGGGGGGGTAGGGTGGGGGGGGGGGGGTAGGGTGGGGGGGGTTGGAGTAGGGTGGGGTAGGGTGGGGAAGTTTGGGTGGGGGGGTAGGGTTGGGTAGGGTGGGTAGGGTGGGTGGGGGTAGGGTGGGGGGGGTTTGGGTAGGGTGGGGGTAGGGTGGGTGTGTGGGGTGGGTGGGGGTAGGGTTGGGGGGGGAGTAGGGTAGGGTGGGGGGTAGGTGTAGGGTGGGGGGGGGTTGGAGTAGGGTGGGGAAGTTTGGGTGGGGGGGTAGGGTGGGTAGGGTGGGTGGGGGTAAGGTGGGAGTAGGGTTGGTGTGTGGGGTAGAGTGGGGGGGGGGGTTCATGGGATTGGGTTGGGGGGGGTAGGGTGGGGGGGGTAGAGGGTTGGTAGGATATGGGGGGGGGGGGGGCCAAAACCGACCAATGAGAGCGCTCCACGGTTGTTTCTAATCAATGGCAGAGACCGAGAGTTCGATTCCATTCACGATCAATTCTTCATTAGGGTTCAAGGCTAATAACGCCGCGAGGCTTGAACACAAAACACTAAAACGGTGTTCATTGAGTGAGTTCGCTCGCTTCGCAAAGCCCTTCGGCGGCGGTGGCGGTGGTGGCGGTGGTGGCGGTGGAGGCGGTGCAAGCACTGTGCGGGGCCTCCCGGCCGCCCGGCCATGCCGCGTCCACGCAACGTCTCGGCGAGAGGGCCGCGGAGTTCAGATCCCGCGTGCCGAGATGTTGACTGCCTCGCCTGGTGTGCAGGAAGGTCGTAGGTTCGATCCCGACCCCTGATGCCTGCTGCGTATTTCAAGTCTGCGTGTCTCTCTCTCATCATCATCACAGTGGCTATGAGATGTTGACTACCTCGCCTGGTACGCAGGAGGTCGTAGGTTCGATCCCGACCCCTGATGCCTGCTGCGTATTTCAAGTCCGCGTGTCTCTCTCTCAGACAAAGATCAAAGATCCCCCGTGTAGCCTGTAACAGACTGTTGGGACAAGTGCTGTTAGCGAGCACCCTACGAAGGCCGGCACTGTGGCACACGAGGGGGCGGGTGGCCAGCACCACGCCCGGCCGCCTTTGTCTCCCCAGTGGCGATGTTTACTACACACCGCACCAGGTACACATTTGAGGCTGAGTCGACCTAGGGGAGGCCCGGGACCGGTTCAGATAATCGTCACTGGGTGTTGGCCGTGAGCGGGAATCGAACCCTGGTCGCCAGGTTCGTAGCGCAGCGTAGCGCTAACCGCTACCACTACCGCTCCCCTCTCTCAGACACACACACACAGACACACACACAGACACACACACAGACACACACACAGACACACACACAAACACACACACACGCGCGCGTGCGCATACAACATCCCGTACGTGCGTGAATACGGAGACGGGGGTACGGGCTCAGAATGCCGGAGCCGCGAATTGACGAAATGCAGCGATCTCCGTGGCCGCCCACAATGGCACGGGTTTCTGCTGCGGCGTTTGACTGGGGAGACAAAGGCGGCCGGGCGCGGTGCTGGCCGCCCAGCCGCCCACGACCTCGTGTGCCGCGCTAGCCTTCATAGGCGCTGCTCCGCTAACAGCGCTTGCCCCAACAGTCCGTTGAGGCATCACGGGGGATCTTCGTCTTTGATTGTGGCTGCGTTGGCTGGGTCACGTAGCCCGCGTGCCCAGCCACCGCATGCCTAAACAGTTTTTGTTCGGCCGGATTGAGGGGGCCAAAACGGGCGCGGCATGGGCTAGAGAAGAGATGGAGTGATGTGGTACAGGAGGATGTGGAGCTGAGTGGACTTGCCGATGACTGGTACCAGCGGTGTCAAGATCGGCCTCTGTGGAGGAGGCTCGTGAAGGACGCTACTGGGCAGTTGGAGGTAGTCGCCCTCCAACAACAACGGAGGGCGGAGGAGCGACGCTCACAACAACGAGCGGAGCGCCGGGTGGCGAAAGCACAGCAGGTTGGCACAGTAAGGGGCAGAGGTGGTGCATCAGCCAGTCATCTCAGTCAGTCGACCCGTGGCACCTGGGTATGCCCCGTGACCTCCTGCCAGCGGGCGTTCGACACTTCACGTGGCCTCAACGTGCACATAGCCTGGCACAAGCGTCGTGGTGACGTCACCGCCACTTAGCGGCGAATGGCGGTTGTTGTTGTAGCGTGTGTGTTTGAGGCTTGGCACGGTAGGGGTCGGCTGTGCATCGGACACTCATCTCAGCCATCCGACCCAGCGGGTGCCCCGCTGGGTCTGCCCCGTGACCTCCATGCCGGCGGGCGTCCGACACTTCGCCTGGCCTCAGCGTGCACCTAGCCTGGCGCAAGCGCCGTGGTGACGTCGGCGAACGGCGGCCGCCATTGTGCTCGTGCCCGTGGTTTTCGTGCGGCAGGCCGCGGAGCGGCACGGCGCGGCGGGGCGCGGGTCGGTCGCCGGGAGGAGGAGCAGCGCCGGCGGGGACGAGGCGACGGCGGCGACCTCGCGCCGCTCGGCACGGCCCACGGTGCAGTACTACCAGCCCCCGCCCACGCGCAGGTGAACGTCACTGCGCACCGCCGACACCGCTTGCTACACACACAGCCGACACCACTTGCTACACACACACATCACACACAACACGTGCCACACACAGCCGACACCACTTGCTACACACACACATCACACATGCGCCACACACAGCCGACACCACTTGCTACACATCACACACAACACGTGCCACACACAGCCGACACCACTTACTACACACACACACATCACACACGCGCCACACACAGCCGACACCACTTGCTATACACATCACACACGCGCCACACACAGCCGACACCACTTGCTATACACACACACAACACGTGCACACAGCCAACACCACTTGCTACACACACACACACAACACACGCACACAGCCAACACCACTTGCTACACACACACATCACACACGCCACACACAGCCGACACCACTTGCTACACCCACACACAACACACACGCGCCACACACAGCCGACACCACTTGCTACACCCACACACAACACGCGCACACAGCCGACACCACTTGCTATATACACACAGCAAACACGCGCACACAGCCGACACCACTTGCTACACCCACACACAACACACACGTGCCACACACAGCCGACACCACTTGCTATACACACACACACAACACGCGCACACAGCCGACACCACTTGCTACACACACACACAACACGCGCACACAGCCGACACCACTTGCTATATACACACACATCACACACGCGCCACACACACGCGCCACACACATGCTCCACACACACGCCACACACACACCACACACACACCACACACGCACACCACACACACGCCACACACGCACACCACACACACACCACACACGCACACCACACACACACCACACACGCACCGCACACACACTCCACACACACCACACACACACACCACACACACGCACACCACACACACGCTCCACACACTCCACACACACCACACACGCACACAAGACAAACACACACCCACGCACACCACACACACACCACACACGCACAAACCCACACACGCACCGCACACACACTCACACCACACACACGCACATCACACACACAGCACACACACACTCAAACCCACACGCACACCTCTCACACACACTGACACCGCGCACGCACACACCACACACACAAACCCACACACGCACCACACACACACTCGCACCACACACAAGCACACCGCACACTCACGCACACCACACACACAAACCCACACACGCACCACACACACACTCGCACCACACACAAGCACACTCACGCACACCACACACACACACTCACCACACATGCACACCGCACGCACACCGCACACTCGCACCACGCACACATCAAGGGCCCTGCTAGGACACGTCCACTCGTGCTCGAGGGAAGGAGCGACGTTGACCCCAAAATCGTCGCCTTCGTTTGGCGAAGTTTCCTTTTCAGGACACCCAAACTGCTGCTGCTGCTGTTGTTGTCGTTGTTGTTGTTATTGTCGTCGTTGTCACGATCGGCGATTGTTTGTTGTCTTTCCCCAACTTTGCTAACGTCTCTGCTTTGGTTGTATGCGGGCGGAAGAAGCTCGCACGTACATGGGGAGCAGCCATGGTGAGATGTTGACTGCCTCGCCTGGTGTGCAGGAGGTCGTGGGTTAGACCCCGACCCTGACGGTGCCTGCTGTACATTTGGAGTTTGCGTGTCTCTCTCTCTCATCATCATCACGGTGGCTATGAGATGTTAACTACCTCGCCTGGTGTGCAGGAGGTCGTGGGTTAGACCCCGACCCTGACGGTGCCTGCTGTACATTTGGAGTTTGCGTGTCTCTCTCTCTCATCATCATCACGGTGGCTAGGAGATGTTAACTACCTCGCCTGGTGTGCAGGAGGTCGTGGGTTAGACCCCGACCCTGACGGTGCCTGCTGTACATTTGGAGTTTGCGTGTCTCTCTCTCTCATCATCATCATCATCACGGTGGCTAGGAGATGTTAACTACCTCGCCTCGTGTGCATGAGGCTGTGGGTTCGATCCCGACCCTCATGCCTGCTGCTGTATATTTGGAGTTTGCGTGTCTCTCTCTTTCATCATCATCACGGTGGCTAGGAGATGTTAACTACCTCGCCTGGTGTACAGGAGGTTGTGGGTTCGATCCCGACCCTGACGCCTGCTGCACATTTGGAGTTTGCGTGTCTCTCTCTCATCATCATCATCATGGTGGCTAGGAGATGTTACTACCTCGGCTGGTATACAGGAGGTCGTGGGTTCGATCCCGACCCTGACGATGCCTGCTGCTGTATATTTTGAGTTTGCGTGTCCCTCTCTCTCATCATCATCATCACGGTGGCTATGAGATGTTAACTACCTCGCCTGGTGTGCAGGAGGTCGTGGGTTCGATCCCGACCCTGACGATGCCTGCTGCTGTATATTTGGAGTTTGCGTGTCTCTCTCTCCTCGTGGTCGCGTGGATTTTTCTCCGGGTCCTCCGTTTTTTTTTTCCCCCCTCCACGTTGAAAATCAACGTCACGCGTTTGGAGTTATTTGGCCGCTGTACTTTTCCGCACGACGATGACGATGAGCCCGCCCGCTTTGTTGAGCGATCGTAAGAGCCCGGCGGCTTCTCAAAAAAGAGCTACGTAGCTCAGTGAGCCTTTACCCGGCGAAATAAAATAACATGGGTTTTTAAATGTGGGTTAGGTTTATGTTGAGCACAATCCAGGCCCCCTGTTCTGCCGAAACCGCGCGTGAATTATCGCCCGTGTCCTCTACGGACGGGGCAGACGATGCATCTCGGCGACGTAATGCAGGGCAACGCTTCGATTTGTTCAGAAGTTGTTAATTTTTTTTACTTTTTTTTCAATCAGAAATAAAAATGAATTCACAGCCCTCCTGTTGTCATATACATGCAAACTATTCAACTATTTTTATTTTACTAGGTAAAGCCCCGATGAGCTGTAGGACTCTTTTCAAGAAGGGACCTTAGCTTTCACAAGTTGCTTATCATCATCATCACGTGGGAAATCAACACGCGTGGTGTCGATTCTAAATGTGGAGGGGAAAAAACTGGAGGAGCCAGAGAAAAATCCACGCGACCACGGGGAGAGAGAGAGAGAGAGACGTGCAAACTCCAAATATAGGGGAAGGGAGAAGGCCCATTGAGCAGCACCACCACCACCACTACCGCCACCACCGCCACCACTGCCACCACCGCCACCACCGCCGCCGCCACCACTGCCACCACCGCCACCACTGCCACCACCGCCACCACCGCCGCCACCACCGCCACCACCACTACCACCACCACCACCACCGCCACCACCGCCGCCACCACCACCGCCACCACCGCCACCACCACCACCGCCACCACCACTACCACCACCGCCACCACCACCACCACCACCGCCACCACCGCCGCCACCACCACCGCCACCACCACCACCGCCACCACCACCGCCGCCGCCACCACCACCGCCACTACCACCACCACCACTACCGCCACCGCCGCCACCACCACCACCACTACCGCCACCACCACCACTACCGCCACCACCACCACTACCGCCACCACCACCGCCACCACCACCACCGCCACCACCACCGCCGCCGCCACCACCACCGCCACCACCACCACTACCGCCACCACCACCACCACCGCCACCACCACCACTACCGCCACCGCCGCCACCACCACCACCACTACCGCCACCACCACCACTACCGCCACCACCACCGCCACCACCACCACCGCCACCACCACCGCCGCCGCCACCACCACCGCCACTACCACCACCACCACCGCCACCACCACCACTACCGCCACCACCGCCACCACCACCACTACCGCCACCACCACCGCCACCACCACCACCGCCACCACCACCGCCGCCGCCACCACCACCGCCACTACCACCACCACCACTACCGCCACCACCACCACCGATCCCGACCCTGACGCCTGCTGCTGTATATTCGGAGTTTGCGTGTCTCCCGCCGCGTTGCCGCGCCAATTTTTTCCCGGGGTCCTCCGCTTTTTCCCCCGCCACGTTTAGAATCAACGTCACGCGTTTCAGAGTCATTTGGCCGCTGTGCATTTCCACGTGGCGATGGCGATGACGACGACGATGATCACCCACTTGGTTGAGCTCTCACTCGTGACGGCCAGGTCGCTCGTGGCGAAGGATCTACCCGGTAGCTCGGTGTGCCTTCTTTACCTGGTGAAATAAAACATTTAAATCTGCCCCCCCCCCCACACACACACAGGTGAGCGGCGACTCGAGAAGTCGCGGCCGTTGCCGGTGAGGGCTGGCGGACGCAAGAGGGAGATCCTCAAGGTGCCGCTCAGCCCTGCGGTGTCGAGCGCACCAGGCTCCCGGACCCGAGCCGCACCACACGCGGGCCCGCCCCCCCCCACCCCACCCCGCTCGCCTCGCCCCCCCCCCCCACCTCCCCCCCGGGCAGCTTTGTCTTCCAGCGCGAGTGCCGTGCAGCTGAAGGGCCGTGCCGTGCCCCGTGCAGCTCGGTGGGGGTTCTTCTTCTTCCTCTTCTTCTTCTTCGTCCTCCTCTTCTTCTTCTTTTCTCTTCCCGTCTCTCGCCGAGTCGTGAGAGACGCCGGGCGGACTCTGGAGGCGGTGGCGGTGGGGGGGGGGGGGGGCGGGAGGGGAGGGGGGCAGCCGTGTCCCCAAGTTGTTAGCCGGCGCTGACGACCCTGGGTTCAAATCCGCGGTGGTCAGCCGCCTGCGATCAGACCCGGCCGCCTCTTTTGCGGTGAACTTTCGCGTCTCGTTCACCGATGACCGACTGTTATTTCCCCCCCCCCCCCCCCCCCCCGCTTCGCTCGTCCACCTAATTTTGGCGGATTGCAGTTGTTGCTTCGGCTGCTGCCGCTGCTGCCGCTGCTTCAGCCGCGTGTCATCGTTCCGTCCGCTCGGCCCGTCGTTACCGGCAACGTCCGGCAGATCGCGACCGTAGCGCCGCCGAAGAAAAGCCTCGCCCGGGGTTCGCCTCGACCCCTTCGACGGACACCTGCACCCGCAGGGGCGGTGCGGCGGAGGCCCGTCCTCGCGGGCCGGCGGTCGGAGTTTGCGCGGCGCTTGCTCGGGCTGCGAGAGAGCTGCGATTGGAAATGTCTCCCGTCCCCCGGCTGTCCTGCTCGTGACGCGACAAGCGATATAGCCGCGGTCGGAATGTAATTGCGGTGTTTTTTTTTTTTTAAACGAGGTTCAATAAAGTTACACGAATGATGCGGAAGAAATGCGTGGGTTGGTTAAAGGGGGGCTCCTTTGAATCGCGGTCTTTCTCTGTCGCGCATCTCTGTTGGCGACGCTTGCCGACCTCTGCCCGGTGGGAATTCCACATTCCCTTTTGACGGGGATCAGTCGAGGTTGTTAACTCCCTCGCCGGGTGTGCAGGAGGTTTGTGGGTTCGATCCCGACCCTGACGCCTGCTGCTGTATATTTCGAGTTCAGGCGCCTCTCTCGCTCACTCCCCGTGGTCGCGTTGAATTAGTCCGACGTTTTTTTTCCCCCCTCCACATTTAGAATTATCGACGTCACACGTTTAGAGTGTTTGTCTACTGCTGCGAATGTCCATGCGGTGGTGATGATAAGCCAGTTCGTTGAGCTGTCATTTGTGGTGGCCAGGTCGCCTCTGACACAAAAAGAAGCTATACACCTCAGCGGGGCCTTACCCAGTATAATAAACAACAAAAAGTTAAGGGGTAAATATTGCGGTTTCTGATGTACGATGACAAATACGCAAGTGGTGAGACCTACATCTCTGCTTTATTGAGCTGGTCAAGGCCTATGATACTGTCAGTAGGCCTGGGCTCTGGGTTGTTCTTCGTGCTTTTGGAGTACCTGACCCTCTGCTCACGATCATTAAGGACCTTCATGATGGTGAGCGGGCCCGGGTAAAACTATGTGGCCGGGAGTCAGAGCCATTCCCTGTACACCTTGGGGTGCGACAGGCATGTCCTCTGGCTCCCACATTATTTAACATCTATTTTGACCACGTAGTTCGTGAAGCCTTCAATAGCTGTACTGGGGGAATCTCCATTTGGTACAGATATAATGGGAGGCTGATCGATGCCCGGGTGCGGTCAAGGGATGGCTCCCTAGTGCTCAACCACGTTATGTATGCCGATGATTTGGTAATAGCTGCTCATTCAGAGGAGGAGTTGGAGACGCTGCTGCTGCTGAGACTGGAGCGTGCCACTAAGAGATGGGGCCTTACCATCAGCCCCACCAAAACTAAGCACCTGCCTGGGTATTTTGTACCATCGGACACTCCACCCCCACAACTCCCAATCGGTGATGGGGCAGTTGTGGAGAGAGTGGAGAGTTTCCCATACCTGGGCAGTGTGCTTATGACCGGCTCCAGTTTAACAGCAGAGGTCTCACTCCGAATCAGTCGAGCGGCAATATCTTTTCATCGGTTGCGTAACGCTGTGTGGAAGCTACCTGGTCTGTGGAGGAGGCTCGTGAAGGACGCTACTGGGCAGTTGGAGGCAGTCGCCCTCCAACAACAACGGAGGGCGGAAGAGCGACGCTCACAACAACGAGCGGAGCGCCGGGTGGCTAAAGCACAGCAGGTTGGCACAGTAGGGGGCACAGGTGGTGCATCAGCCAGTCATCTCAGTCAGTCGACCCGTGGCACCTGGGTCTGCCCCGTGACCTGCCAGCGGGCGTTCGACACTTCACGTGGCCTCAAGGTGCACATGGCCTGGCACAAGCGTCGTGGTGACGTCACCGCCACTTAGTGGCGAATGGCGGTTGTTGTGTGTGAGTGAGAGCGAGTGTGAGTGAGTGTGAGCGAGTGAGTGTGAGTGAGCGAGTGTGAGCTAGTGTGAGTGAGCGAGTGTGAGTGAGTGTGAGCGAGTGTGAGTGAGTGTTAGCGAGTGTGAGTGGGTGTGTGTGAGCGAGTGTGAGTGGGTGTGTGTGAGTGAGCGAGTATGAGTGTGAGTGAGCGAGTGTGAGTGTGAGCGAGTGTAAGCGAGTGTGAGCGACTGTGCGTGAGCGAGTGTGAGTGAGCGAGTGTGAGTGAGTGTGAGCGAGTGAGTGCGAGTGAGCGAGTGTGAGTGAGTGTGAGCGAGTGTGAGTGGGAGTGAGCGAGTGTGAGTGAGTGTGAGCGAGCGAGTGTGAGCGAGTGCGAGTGAGCGAGTGTGAGCGAGCGAGTATAAGGGAGTGTGAGTGTGAGCGAGTGTGAGTGAGAGCGAGCGAGTGTGAGCGAGTGTGAGTGAGCCAGTGTGAGTGAGTGTGAGCGAGTGGAGTGCGAGCGATTGGAGTGTGAGCGAGTGGAGCGTGAGTGAGCGAGTGTGAGCGAGCGAGTGTGAGTGTGAGCGAGTGTGAGTGAGAGCGAGCGAGTGTGAGCGAGTGTGAGTGAGGGAGTGTGAGTGAGCCAGTGTGAGCCAGTGTGAGTGAGTGTGAGCGAGCGAATGTGAGCGAGTGTGAGTGAGCGTGAGCGAGTGTGTGAGCTAGTGAGAGCGAGTGTGAGTGAGCGAGTGTGAGTGAGTATGAGTGAGCGAGTGTGAGTGAGTATGAGTGAGCGAGGGAGTGTGAGTGAGGGAGTGTGAGTGAGCGAGTGTGAGTGAGCGAGTGTGAGTGAGTTTGAGTGAGCGAGTGTGAGTGAGCGAGTGTGAGCGAGTATGAGTGAGCGAGTGTGAGTGAGTGTGAGTGAGTGTGAGTGAGCGTGAGTGAGTGTGAGTGAGCGAGTGTGAGTGAGCTAGTGTGAGCGAGTGAGAGCGAGTGTGAGTGAGCGTGAGTGAGTGTGAGTGAGCGAGTGTGAGTGAGCGAGTGTGAGTGAGCGAGTGTGAGTGAGCGTGAGCGAATGTGAGTGAGCGAGTGTGAGTGAGTATGAGTGAGCGAGTGTGAGTGAGTATGAGTGAGCGAGTGTGAGTGAGCGAGTGTGAGTGAGCGAGGGAGTGTGAGCGAGCGAGTGTGAGTGAGCGAGTGTGAGTGAGCGAGTGTGAGTGAGCGAGTGTGAGTGAGCGAGTGTGAGTGAGTGTGAGCGAGTGTGTGCGAGTATGAGTGAGCGAGTGTGAGTGAGCGAGTGTGAGTGAGCGAGTGTGTGTGAGTGAGCGAGTGTGAGTGAGTGAGTGTGAGCTCGTGTCAGTGAGTGAGTGTGAATGAGTGAGTGTGAGTGAGCGAGTGTGTGAGTGTGAGCGAGTGTGAATGAGTGAGTGTGAATGAGTGAGTGTGAGCGAGCGAGTGTGAGTGAGCGTCTGCAGCACCACGCGTAGCTCCGCAAATAAAACAAAAATATAAACTTGAATCATTGGAATTTAGTGCGTGCCTTAGCTAACCACTGAACTCGAGGTTCTGGTGGGGGGGGGGGGGGGTGATGGATTAAATAACCGGCCTATGAATTTTTAAAAACAAAATCTCAATTCTCTTGTCTGTGAGTCTGCGTTGAAAACGATAGCGTGGTAACGTTTTGTGTTTTTTTTTCTTGTTGTTGGCGAAACATTCAAATTCTCCGGGATTTTTGTTTTTTGTGTCTTCCAAGTTAAGGTTTAAAGCCGCGATTTCAAATACACGGCGCGCAATTTATTTTTTTACCTGGCAAGATATTTGTTTTTTTTTATATTTTTGAAAGTGAAGCCCCGAAGAGACTTTGTATGGGTTGTCGCCCTGGCCCTGAAACGTCTTTAACATCGTCGGGTTCCCGGTGGCCAGAGGGTGGTGGTGGGGTGAGTTTTGGCATTCGAATGATCACTTCATAATTCTCAGAATTCAGATTCCCGAGCCCACTCGCTCATTCACTCTCTCTGTGTCCAGATTGAATTTAAAGATTTAATCACGCGATCGTTACACACTCACACCACCCCACTCACTCATTCACTCTCTCTGTGTGTGTCCAGATTGAATGTGAAGATTAAATCACGTGTTACACACTCACACCAACCCGACTCAATCATTCTCTCTCTCTGTCCAGCTTGAATGTAAAGATTCAATCACGTGTTACTCACACCACCCTACTCACTCATTCACTTTCTCTCTCTGTGTGTCCAGATTGAATGTAAAGATTTAATCACGTGTTACACACTCACACCACCCCACTCACTCATTCACTCTCTCTCTCTGTGTGTCCAGATTGAATGTAAAGATTCAATCACGCGTTACACACTCACACCACCCCACTCACTCATTCACTCTCTCTCTGTGTCCAGATTGAATGTAAAGATTCAATCACGCGTTACACACTCACACCACCCCACTCACTCATTCACTCTGTGTGTCCAGATTGAATGTAAAGATTCAATCACGCGTTACACACTCACACCACCCCACTCACTCATTCACTCTCTCTGTGTGTCCAGATTGAGTGTAAAGATTCAATCACGCGTTACTCACTCACACCACCACACTCACTCATTCACTCTCTCTGTGTGTCCAGATTGAGTGTAAAGATTCAATCACGCGTTACACAC